ATCTACCAATGCATTGCCACCAAAGGAGGTCAGTTCCTCCAATCAACCAACCTACCTTATTCATGCTACGGGAGAAACACCTTTGTCTAAACGTTCTCCTTTTTTAATTCAAAAACTCTGAATCGACTATTGGGCACCTTTAAAAAATTCAAAAGTTGAGGTCAGGAGATCTACTCGTAGAAGCAGCCTCCCTCAACAGTCAACAAAGCTTCTGAAAACAGTCTTTAGGAGACATAATGGTCACCATCACACCACACACAAGTTTGAACTCATCACGTGGTGTGATATCTGAAAATGATCTGATTTCTGAGGCTGAATCAGATATTCAGATTGGTCTTTCAGACCAAGATGTCACTGCTGTTCGACGAATTTCGATCCGGCAAGATGGTAAGTTGATACCAACAAAATATCTTATATTGACTTTCAACAAACCAACATTGCCATCTTCTGTTGCGGCAGGATATCTCCGTTGCCCAGTTCACCCATATATTCCAAATCCGCTGCATTGCTTTAAATGTCAGCAGTTTGGACACTCACAAACATCATGCGGAGGAAAAAAAGCATGCGCACAGTGTGGAAATGAAGACCACAAGTACTGAATGCACAAGTTCTCCATGCTGTGTAAACTGCAAAGATTCCCATCCTGCCTACTCCCGAAAATGCACTGCATGGCAGAGAGAAAAAGAAGTTCAGTGGGTGAAGACGGTGAATAACATACCTTACCCAGAGGCACGTCACATAGTCACTCCAAATGCACCAGTGAAACAGAAGACATTTGCATCATAGACTCAATCCATGAGTGAGTTCTCTGATATCTCTGATGAAGAGAATAATATGGAGGTGACACAACCAACCTCACCTTCAAAAGGAAAATTCTCAGTAAAATTGAAGAGGGACACTTTTTCTAAGAATGCTGCCTCAAACACAATGGATCATAAAATAATCCAATGGAACTGTTGTGGTTTCTGCAACAACTTCTCTGACATTAAACACTTGACATCATCTACCTCATCTCTCTGTGTGGCACTCCAGGAAACACATCTAAAACCTGGAGAAAATATTTCTTTAAAAGGATTTGATCGCTACCACAAGGATAATGATAGCCACAACCATGCAAGTGGTGGTGTGGCTATTTTGGTTTCAAATCACATCGCATCCTTGCCGGTACAAATAACTACTGATTTGCAAGCTGTGGCAGTCAGAATTTCTGTTGGAGTAACTGTCACAGTTTGTTCTATATACTTGCCACCAGATATCAGAGTCAATGAGGATGAATTGGATGCATTAGTTGAACAGCTGCCAACTCCATCTCTTCGATTTCAATGGCTATAATCCAATGTGGGGCAGTCCAGACATCAACCAACGAGGCAGAGCCATTGAGAGATTAATAGGTAATCACCAACTATATCTATTTAATACTGGAGAAGTGGCATACAGTAGACTCCCTATAACGCAGTAGATACGTTCTGCTTTATAAGAATTTTGCATTGTATGAATCCTTAAATACATGAGCCAATCACAGCCCGACACATGTGAAGTTTATGGACTACGGCTGTTTGAAAGGTTTTCTTCCATAAAATTAATCAATTCTAGACTAATTCGACTCAATATTTCCAAAATACTCATAATTTTTTGGGAATAATCCGTATAAACTATGCTATAAACAAAAAATTGTAGGATTACTTACCGAGTGTGCACCATTCGATGTCGCCATTGCTTAAGCTTGTTTTCGTCGCAGAGCAGTGTACCAAACAGCGGCCGTGAATTCTGATAAGTTATTTTTATGCAAAAAATTTGTTGAACTTTGGAGACATCATTAATAGAAATAATTTTTATGGCCGTTGAATAAGAAATGTTTCTTTCACAAGAAATTATAAAATTACAGTGCTGTATTAGACTTATGGTACCTAATTTACATACTGTACAGACGATAGTAAACTCAACTTACTCGCCTAAACTCTCTGTAGCGTGGCGCTGGACGGCGGAAAGTATATGTATATAATTATAATAAAGTTAAAATAAATTAAGTTAATATTGTACAGACGATAATAATACTGTACAGATGATAGTAAACTCAACTTACCCGTCTAAACTCTCCATAGCGTGTAAGTAGTTCAGCTGCTCATCTACTATTGGTCCAGATTCGACCAATCCTGTCAGCGACACGAGTCAGCGATGATGTTTTACCGCTTTTTACATGCCCCTTTTAGCATCTTTATACGAATACTGTCACAATTTTTTTTGCCGCGTTATAGGAATCCGCATTATAGGGGGGTCTACTGTATATAAAAATGAATGTATGACTGTGTGTCTGTCCTTCATGCATTACCACACCGTTTATCCGATTGCCATGAAACTTTGGAAAGTTGTTTAATATTTTCCCGCAAAGGTTTCTGGCATAGTACAATTGCCATTAAGCTTTGGGAAGTTTTTTAATACACTCTTGTGAAGGTTTCTGGCATAGTACATTTATCCTACATAGATGGCGCGAGTGTATACGAGCATTTCACTGTGTGTTCAATCGATTTCAAATTGTGAAGACCATTTCTCCCCTCCAAAAAATATCTCTATATATGCATTTGTGAATTGTTATTTACGATATTTGTAATAATTTTTGTTTAATCACTTTATTTCAACTTTTTTCTGCTAATTACGTATTCGCTCAAACTTTGATAAAACCTTAACTGTATCCTGAACAACAACCGAAGTTGTAGGAGGAAATTCACCTATTTTACCGATCTAGGGATCCCCCTTTTCCAAATTTTAATATCAACTCAAAATAATTTANTTAAATATAATACATATATATTGTTATTAACTACAAATTATTTTGATCTATGAGTGAATCATATAGATATTAACAGACTAATTGGAATAACAACTCACCCATTAGCATTTCAATTGTATACATAGACTCTTCTGGTATATTCTGTATTACCTACAAAAAATGTTTTAAAACTAATTTAAACAACAACTAATAGAAAAATATGCAGTTATTAATATATATCAGGCATGGCCAGCAAGTCAATCACAGCATTACTTTTAGTCAATTATGAATAACATGGCCTGTTAAAATGCAAAAAACATTTGTAATTTCCATGGGAATATAAAGTCCATATTTACACTATGAAATCTTAACTATCACTACGGGTTGTTAACACTGCTGTGAGATTACAAGTGATTGTTTCTGATTGTGAAACAGTGAAAACAGAATATAAAGATACTGAATGAGAAACATAGGATAATGGAACTTGAATTTTGTGTTGATGGTCTCCACATTTTTATTTTGGTAATTGCTTTGTTATGCCTTAAGCAATTTCAGTTATGTGCAAAATAAGTGTGTCAAAGAGAAGCAAACATCTTGAATTTTCAGACAAATGAAAATAAATTTTTGTTTTGTTGTCTTGAGTGATAAATACTGTTATTTAGTTTATTTTTAGTACCTTTACCAAAAATGAGGTAACCTGAAATGTCTGTTTCTGTACAGTGAATAAATATAATTACATTTTGCAGCATAATTTTATAAGAATGGGTTAATAAACTTTATCTATAGACAGTAGACCTCCCTATAACACGGTAAATACGTTCCACTTTATAAGAATTTCATGTTGTAGGAATCCTTAAATACATGAGCCAACCACAGCCCGACACTTGTGAAGTTTACGGACTACGGCTGTTTGAAAGGTTTTCTTCCATAAAATTAATCGATTCTAGACTAATTCGACTCAATATTTCCAAAATACGAATAATTTTTTGGGAATAATCCATATAAATTATGCTATAAACAAAAAATTGTAGGATTACTTACCAAGTGTGCACCGTTCAACGTCGTCATTGCTTAAAGCTTGTTTTCGTCACGGAGCAGCACACCAAACGGCGGCCGCAATTTCTGATAAGATATTTTTCTGTGAAAAATTCATTGAACTTTGGAGACATCATTAATAGAAATAATTTTTATGGCCGTTGAATAAGAAATGTTTCTTTCACAAGAAATTATAAAATTACAGTGCTGTATTAGACTTATGGTACCTAATTTACATACTGTACAGACGATAGTAAACTCAACTTACTCGCCTAAACTCTCTGTAGCGTGGCGCTGGACGGCGGAAAGTATATATATAATTATAATAAAGTTAAAATAAGTTAATATATAATTATATATACAGTACCTAATTTATATATAATTTATATATAATACTGTACAGACGATAGTAAACTCAATTTACCCGCCTAAACTCTCCGTAGCGTGGCGCTGGACGGCGGAAAGTAGTTTGGCTGCCCGATGACGTTTTACCGAATTATAGGAGTTTTTTCGAATTATAGGAGTTTTTTTACCATGTTTGTACGGACACCGTCGCAATTTTTTCGCCGTCATATAGGAATCCGAACTATAGGAACCCGTGTTATAGGGGGATCGACTGTTTATCAAATTATTCAAACTTCAAGACACCATTAAAAATAAAAATTGCATTATAGTGAACATTTTTTTTAGTTAACTGTATAAGTTGGCGACCCCACAGAAAGCCCGTCGCGACCCCCTTCTGGGTCGCGACCCATAGGTTGGGAACCCGTGGT